TGTACTATTTAGTTGCTGATCTACGAAATATTGATTATATATGCAATATAAATTAAGAGCTGCTTTGGCCTTAGTCATAAAAAATACTTTTGGTATAATGCAATAAATAAATACATTTTTTATGTAAAAAAATTAGTATTTATGATTTATTGGTCACAAGTGGAGACAGGATAGGTAAGTACAGATCATCCATATTCGGTATCACCAACACTTTCTAAAGAAACAAAGAAAAACATTGGAAAATCAAAAACAAGAAAGTATGATACATAGTTATAATTAATAATTTTATGTTATTTATTTATGAATACAAATTAGGCCTAATAATTAAGAATACATCAAAAAATGCTTACCTGAAATTCAAGCACAAGCTTCTTCTCAATCCAGTTCTTAACATGAATAAATGTTATATTTTTTTCACCCACGATGGGATGGGCTGACAAAGATAAAGTGGGAACTGGTCGAAAACCATACCACAATCTATCACTTGGTGGAGGGGGAATATTCACAGCCAAAACACCAAAAAGATGTTTCACCTCTACCTTTATACCAAAATCGGTATTTGACACACCTATGTCAATAAGTACAGTTATAATAAAAGTGATTCTGGAAAATGAAGTTTGAAAGTATTTACCTTCCATTGCTTTCTTGACATATTTATTTTCTGTGGCTTTCTGGAAAAACTTTGACTCTGCAATTTTATCGACCATTTTCATAATTTTTTTGCCAGTATTCCCAGAAGATCCACTCGTCCCTGTTGGAGTTGAGGAATATTCTATGCTTGAATTTTGATCTTGACTCATTAAATAAACTGAATCATCGTCTGAACTGGTCTCTGCAGAATCTTCTATTTCAGAATTATAAATAGCTGAACATTCTTTCTCATACTGTTTATCTGAAAGTAAACAATTTATAAATATCAGTTAAAAAACCTTTTTATCAATTTTTCTCTTACCTATGGATGACGGGGGCTGTTTTAATTTCATTAGATTTAATTTTGTATAAACATACATACTAAAGCAGCCTTCGTAAGAAACATCTAAGTCTATCCATAAGCCTCTTTCGTCAGTGTAGGGCTCTTTTACTTGTTGAAAAACTGGAGCTTCGCTTCCTAGAAAAAGATAGCATGTTTATATGTTAAACAAATATGAGTGTATAAACAATTATTACCTAAGTACAAATCTTTCAGAGCAAGTTCTTCAATGAAATATGGTAGCCTTATACCACTCAATTTTCTTTGTATAAAAAGTTTTAAAGATTCAGACACCTGATCATAAGTTAATACGTCATACATCATACGACCAATAAGTACATTGAACCATAACAGATTATTGTTTAATGGAAAGATGAAAGAAATATCTTTATTTTCGTCTTCATCCTCGTCTTTATTTTGCTTTTCTTTAGAAGTCTTTAATTTATCACTTGAAGCTTGTAGTTGATCATCAGAATGATGTCGATTCAACTACAATTGGCACTTTATTAACATTTTGAATATTAAAACAAAATATTTTTTATTTACCTGATATCTGGACATATATTTTGAGAAGTCCAATTCTGCTTCAGTTTCTTGAAAATCGCCTTTGCTGTTGTTATTTTCAGTTAAGTCTTTCAAATACCTTTCCTGATTTAATTCAGTAGCTTTCTTAAATCTTCTAAACCAGTCTTCTTTCTCTCGTCCAGTACGTCCAAAAAGATAAAGACATGTTCCAGATGGATTATCCTTCTAAAACGAAACATTTCAATAAAATAATATAGTAACAAAAATTTACAATACATTAACTTACACAAGATGTCGAAACTTCCCATCCTTCCAATTCATCTCCAAAACTACCAATACCATCAGATTCATTTTGGCTTTCTGAAGGATCTTCCTTTGATTGCTGGCTTGATTTTTCTAAGATATCACTAGATGTTTCCTTCTTTTCTTCGTCGTCCTAACAAAAGAAATTTAGTGTTTCATCAAAAATTATAATATACATACTGTAGAACAGCAATTTACCTCGGAATTTGTTTGGCATTCCTGATCTGAAACACCACCTGTACCAAAATCGTCCTTCTCAAATAATTTACTAAAAATTTGAGGTTTCTGTAAAATAGAAAATTATTCAAAATTTTAATATTTCAACAATGAGTAAATAAAATTTAACCTGATGTTGGCTTTTTCTCTTCTTCTTTTTGGCCTTTTTTCCTTTCTTATCTTCTTCATTTTTCTTTGACTTTTTCCCTTTTCCTTCATCGTCTTTGTCATCCTCATCATTTTCGTTGGGATATAAATACTTCACTTGCTCTTCTTTCAAAGTGATACAAATGGGATATTTCTTACTCCAATGTCTTTTTTTATTCAGCCCTTCAGGAACTAAAGTAATTGCAGATCCATACAAATTATAAATGCGATGATGCGTGAAACTAGGTTTAAACCTTGGCTGATTCCAGAGATTTCTTTTGGGTATTTTAGCTCGTGTATGGCTCAATCTCAAAAAATTTCCTTGCAATTTCACATAAACAGACTGGGTGTTTGATATATGATAGGTGTGTGGGTCATATTTGTCAGGAAACTCGTTCATCCAGCCCTGTATGATGAATGTATATTAAACAGTTCAACTTCATAAAGAAACATTCAGTATATAGAAGTGAGTTAAAATAAATAAAAATAAATAAACTACAAAATTACCTCAAATTTCGTTAATGGCTTGTATTCTTTGATAACAGGAACTTCTAAACTTGGTTTGTAGTCAAACATTTGAACCTGACACTTGTTGTTTTGAGATTCAAAAACAATTTCCAAGGTGGATTTCCCAGTTAACATATTAATAATAATGATCACAGAAAAGGTAACTATCACACCCCCAAGAAAACCCACGAAGGAGGAAGGTAAAAATGCCCATAAACATATGAAAATAGAGAAAAGGGCAACTAAATATGCAGTATTAATAAGAAATTTGTTCCCAAAAATTGAATCTTCAACATCTCCAGGAGAAGGCCTCATATCCACAAATCCTTTTGGAGCAAAATAGGTCTTAACAGTTTTACAATCTTTTTCAGAAGATATCTCAACACCTGTAACTTCATTAATACATACAGTGTCATCTGTAAGATCGACAGTTATATTTTCAATTTTTTCAGTCAGTTTAAATAAAACATTTTCCGTTTGATCTTTCAAGGAGGATGCCCTTACATTTGTATCAGATACTTGATCATTGTCATTTTTTTCCTTATCACTATTAACAGTTAAATCCTTTTCCACACTGCTATGTCTCTTAGAATGTAAATCATTTTCTTCTAAAGCATCTACAGCACTTTCAACTTCACTGTCATCTGAATGATCTGCTTGTAACCCAGTAGCAATTTCATAAATATTTCTAAGAGCTTTTATATTAACATAGCCTTCTCTTACTTTGCGCCTATTTCTGAGTAATTTAAACTTTTTAGAACTCGATTTTGTCTTCTTCTTTTCCATACTTCCTGCCTCTTCATCTTCTTCACTTGACATTTCAGGACCTGAAATCATTACTTCAATAAACAACAATTTAGGAAAATGCTACACAATCACCACCTTCAGTTGTAGAGTAAACACCACAAGTTTTTGAAATACTACTTTCCGAAATGTCTTCAGAATCTGAAAAGCTCGAATTTTCCTTGTGTTTGGTAAGCTTGTTTTTCTTAGGAGATGCCTCTTCTTGTCTGGATTTTATTTCAGTTAGTTTGTCCTCTACACTTTTTGTTATTTTACCCTGTAACATAAAAAATTACCACCTAATAAAAATATCAAATAATTATTATCTACTACTTTAATGTCAGCCAAAAACTTCCAAGGATCAGAGGGAGGAGAAGAATCTTGATAAGTTAATGCAGCAGTGTCTATACTGGTAGATCTTTTAGAAAGTCTTGGCAAGTATAAAAGCTTTGAACTGCCAGCAACTGTGTCAAAATCATCTACAATTAAAAAGTCTATTTATAAAGGCATTAGTAACTCAAAAATTATCTATACCATGCACACTGCTGGCAGACTGTTTATCAATGTCTATTTTATCTTCATCACTAAAGTATGTCTCTTCAATTTGTTCTGTTGTAACATCAAACCGAACAGACAGTGAAGATGCTGATGAATTAAGAGGCTTTCCTATAACAACAATATCTTAAAAAAGTTGTTAATAATGAAAGAACTGCAAATTTCTTGCAGATTATACCAAAAACTTGACAAGTAAACACCAAATACTTGTCAAAACTTGTTTACAAGTAATTTATTACATTCACCTTTTTAACTCCCTAACTTAATTAAGCCAATAAATAGCATGTACAGTACATACCTGTTGATGCCTGTCGTGTTAATTTTAATCGATTATTCATGATAAAAGTAACATAATGATAGTGCAAAGATTAAATGAGTGTGCTCGTCAGACATCATGCAGATGCAGTGCGTTAAAAACACATAACTATAAATCGTTGGCACCTTTATAATATTCCATTTCAATATCACCACATGAATCACTAAATCTGAATGTTATAACACTAATTACTTTCTAAAATATGGTAAATTAGTGTACAAAGTGCTTTGTCAAACATAACTTAAGCATAGCTTTGCGTATATAACCTTAAATTTTTGACAATCATAGAAGTAGTAAACGAGAATTGATGAAAAGCATCACAGAAAAGTATATGATAATACCTCCTTAAAAGAAAAAGATTTTTTAATGGAAAAGTGGCAATAGCTTCCCTTTTTCAAAGTATGAGTAATACATTTTTTAATTTCTGTCTCAGTATATTGTTAATTCATCATCATAAGGTCTTGAGCCCGAAGACTCCATCTCCACTTCTTCTTATCTTGAGCAATCTATGCATGTGTTGAGACAATCTTCAGACTTCTCAAAAACTAGAGCAACCTTCATCTATAACTCTTTGCTAGCAGTAATCTAATCCAGGTCTGCCTATCTGAACTCCTATGTCTCCTTCTAATATGTCTCTAACTAGCCCTTCATGCCTGATCTTAATACCTCCACGTTTTAAATTTTTTCATCCACGGTATTTTAACATCCTTTTATTTCACCACATCTCAGAAGCTTGTAAGTAAAGTTTACTATAGAGCCGTGTTCCAAACATACACCCTGATAATAATCGCTTTAGGATTTTTCCATCCTGAATTGTCTGGATCGATAAATATCGAAAATCAGCGACTTCTAGATTTTCGTCTTCTGTCTTTTGGAGCAAAAGAAATCTTATTAGTTTTAAGATCTTCTTCAGAAGATGTCCCATCACCTATAACTTCATTTGTACATCTGTAAGGTGGACAAATATTTCCAATATCTTCATCCGGTTTAAATAAAACAGGGATTTTCCACCCTGAGTTATAACTTCCTAAATATTGAAAATGAGTGACTTCTTGTTTTTCGTCTTCTATTTTTCGGAGCAAAAGATGTCTCAATACATGTAACATCATTAGTACATACGGTATCACCAGTAAGATGGACAAATAATTCCAATATCTTCATCCAGTTTATATAAAGCAAGGATTTTCCATCTTAAGTTATAGCTCTAAATATCGAAAATGAGTGACTTCTAGTTTTTCGTCTTCTATTTTTAGGAGCAAAAGAAATCTTATCGATTTTAAAATCTTCTTCAGAAGATGTCTCAATACCTGTAACATCATTAGTACATATGGTATCATGTGTAAGATCGACAGATGTTTCCAGTTTCTTCATCCAGTTTATATAAAGCAAGGATTTTCCATCTTAAGTTATAGCTCTAAATATCAAAAATGAGTGACTTCTAGTTTTTCGTCTTCTATCTTTCAGAGGAAAAGAAGAAGAAGCTTATCAGTTTTATAATAATCTTCAGAAGATGCCTCAATACCTGTAACATTATTAGTACATATGGTATCATCTGTAAGATCGACAGATGTTTCCAGTTTCTTCATCCAGTTTAAATAAAACAGGGATTTTTGCATCCCCAATTATCTGACTCTCTAAATATCGAACATGGGCGTTTTTAAATTTCTCGTCTTCTATCGTTCGAAGGAAAAAAAATCTTATCAGTTTTGAAATCTTCTTCAGAAGATGTCTCAATTTATTCATCTAGTTTATATAAACCAATGCTTTTTTAATGGTAGATACTTAAGATAGTTAATTAGCTTCTGCTTGGTGCGCCAAAATAAAGACCATAATTATAATTACCAATGAGAAATTGGGTCAAACAAGATCGGTAATCGAAAGGAATGGCGCCAAGAGTTAAAGACCAAATAATTTTGAAAATCAAAAACTTTACAAATTTACTATAGCTTTGTCTAAATTTCAAGGATTTTTAGAGATAATGTTAACAATCAACGTTAACAGAAACAATTGGTAAAATAAAATTTATTGTTGAAACCATTTGAAATCTTCGTTGTAACAAAAGTATTTTCATTTTGTGTCTTGCATTTAGGAAACAATGAAAATCAAACAAATAAATCAAACAAAACTATTTTATTGTACTCAGTTGAGTAAGTAGTAACATCATTTATATTTGTAAACCAAATATCCTACTATTCCACACACGCCACGATAAAAAAAATACATAAACTGCCTCAATGCACATCTTCAAAAGTAGAATGTGAGATGCGCCGGGTAACATTTGTGATTCTTGGTGGGGTTTGGCTTGGATGAACTCGCTCAGCTTCCACCAGTGCGTGCTAAATCTTCTCGAGGGGTGGTTGTTTTCACACTAAATTAAGGCATAAACAATTCCGTAAGAAGTTTTATTAATTAAAATCATTCCGTTTAAGAAAATCTAAAAGTCTACGGTAAGTTAAATGTGAGTGCACGTATTTTTCTCCTAAATACAAGTTTCAGATTTTATTGTTTAACAAAATAAAATTCATAACATGCCATTAATTAATTTCTCAAAAGAAAATAAGAATTAAACTTTGCTACCAAACAAGCCTTTAAACTATTAAATATTTACCTCCACTTTCAAATAGATAAGTGTACAGTTACTGATTACTATTTCTTGTAAATAAAAGTTAACCAAAACATTTGCCTTGACCTTTCAGAAAGCAAATATCACCTCAATATATTAACAAAATTACTTTTTATAAAACTCCTCAACTTCATTGTTATGGTAGGTGCATTCAGCGAAAGTTTTACTTTTGCAAATATACCTCTAGATATTTAATTTGAAAGTTTATTAACAGTATTATATTATATATTTTTTGTTTTTTTTTTTGGAATTTCATATACGTAAAACTGTTTTCATAAATTGCTCTATTTCAATTTTTATAACTGAACAATGACCTTTGTACCTTTCTATTGGCTTTAAAAATTCAAAACATCACTCTTTCAAATAACAAAAGAACACTCAAATTGCTTATATTCCCATTAGAATTTAAGGAAACTTTCTTCGTACAAAATAAGCCATCAAACAAATACTTTCTCCTTTCTTATTCTCATCAGGATTCAGAATATCCTTAAATAATAAGTCTAACGTCAACAAACCCCTCAATATAATAAAAATGGTAAATATACTCTAAAACTTAGGACCTGTAGTCGGTGATCATAATGAGGTGTTTCATATTCCCGAAAATTGCACCTATTCTAAACGCTAACCTGTTACAAGAATTTAGTGCTTACGAAAAATGGGTTTTTCTTGAAAAATGATTGAAGCGGAAAAGAGAAAAAGGTGCCATAAATTGCTTCATCGATTTGAACCGACGTGACATCCACCGAATTTATGAAAGGGATGTTTTGAAAAATTGTATATTTAAAGTACAGTTTGATTAAAGTGGACATTAAAGTGTAGAAGAACAGAAGTTTCAACACACATTTGCCCTAGACATTGTTCCATAAGTGTGCTTAACTGAAGTTGAAAAAGGAGTTCAAGCATTCGCGGTTATCGCTATGAAATTGACCATCGTCAAACAAGGCTTTTAATTCTTCTCAACATTTCGTCGACTCGCATGGATATCTTTCTCTTCTTCCTGGGCCTACAGGTCGAAAACTTCGACCTACCAGTCAAAAAAACCCAAAAATAAGCAATCTTTTGAGCAGTTTTTATCCATCAATACAGTGTGGGTCATTTATCTTGAAACTAATATCTTAATTGGATTCCATTATTCTGAGAAAAATTTTAGATAAAGTTTGTAATGCTTTCGAAGAGGAAATTAGGTGGTGATGTTGATCTTGACCTTGAGGACATTTGCCAGTGGAGTAATTTCTTTTATAGGAATGCATATGTTAGGCCCTATCATTGTAAAGATTAATCTGCTTTTAATTTTTCTATCCATGTTCAGGAGAAATTACGATCAATCAAATTTCGGAAATATTTTGATTAAATTCCATTATTTCTGAGAAAGTTTTAGACCAGGACCTTGACCATCAAGTTTATTTGGAAATCAGTCATTTTTTTAAATGGGAATACATATTTTTGAATCCATCAAAGGAAAGAACTCTAAATTTTGAAATTAGAAATGCGTTTGAAGTTGGTTTGCTCTTAATTTTTCTGGCTATATTTATCTACAACATTAAAAAAAAAAATGGCGACCTGCAAATGTTTTTGAATGTCAAGATCAAGAGCACATTCAACGTGGTCACCTGATTTCCCCTTCAGAAACATAGAAGGTTTTGTCTGAAGTTTTTTCAAAGTCATGAGATCGAATCAAGGTATTTCATTGGCTCATGATAAATGACTACCCTATTTGCATTCAAACCATACATTTATGTTTATGTGTATGCTTTCGTTGTTGATTTTGATTTTGAAAATTAGGTACTTACTAGTACTGATCTTATTTATTCATGTTTATATGTAGATCATCACGACCAACACCGCAAAACCAATAACAATTTTATTTACTAATTGGCTGCCCTTATCCTGTTATTTTCTGAGGTGATGTCCAGGCTCCTTTGTTCACGTGTTCAATTTGAAATTGTTTACATAGTAATGGATCTATTTTCTTGGCAAAAGGCGTCCAATTTTCTGAGGATATAGGAGTAAATGAAGACACAGTATTTATTGGAAACGATTTTGCATGCACATTTAATCCTCTTTTTCGTTTTTAGTAACAATTTAAGCCTTCACTAAGAAAGACATAAATAAAGCGTTGAATAGATGCCAGACAATATTGATAAATGGCTTGCACGCTTAAAATGTATCGTATGTCTGCCAATATCACCCTATGCCCCACTAATAATAAATTTTCTAGCTGCATTAAGCTAACTTGTAATTTACTCAATTGCTGTTATATAGTAAGAAATGGATTTTATCAAATTAATAATCATCGCACTTCAATACATTACTTTAAAAGAAAGTCTAACCAGTTGGACATTAAAAAATGTGCCAGATCCAACAGATACTGGACCCCATCTCTAGTTTCCTAAGTACGTTACATTGTTAAAACTTTGAAAGTTATTCAGTTCCGAAATTGAAAGGCAACCAATGTGTTTCTTTGCTCTACTAAATAAAAATAGACTCCTGTGTATGTGTGACACTATACAAAAACCGCCGCTGCTTCTGACAATCCTTATTTAGAAGAAAACTGCATGAAAACGAAATAAAAATAAACGTATCCGATAAATTATCGATAGAGAGAACAAAATGAAACGAAACATTCGGTACAAATGTCCGATTAATTCCTATTCCGACTCTGGCGAGAAATAAATGGTAACAGGTTTCAGTAATGCGATTTGTTTATGCGAGAATTCAAGTGAAATAACCATTCTGACGCTTTGTAGCAGATATTTCTTTATATCCAACGAACAGAGTAATTTTTTGTTTCACAGCATTTCCATTGTATTTGCCTATCTGCTGTTTCTTTAAATGGAGTATAAATGTCCATTACTTTAAAAAGTGTAATACCGTCAAGACGGAGAACAGTCAAGCAAAAAAGAAGTTGTTGTTCTTGTAAAGAAAATGTGTTTTATTATTTCGTTTATCAAGTAAGTGACAGTATAGCGCCATCTGCGGATATTTACTGCTAGCCATAGTTTTTCATTATTTTTGATAAGGCCTTACAAAGATTTTTATTCGCCAAACTGAAGAACATTAAGGTACTGGTTAGTAAATCATCGAATCTACCATCAAATTGCGATTTTAAACATACTATTTCTCACCTAGATGCTCCACATCATAGACTCACCCTGACAAGTAGATATTACATTTGAAAGGTCTCATCAACTTATAATTCATACCTCCCAGCGATCACATTACAGAACAGACTAGGAAATCTTCTGAGTTCTGACAAACTTTATTATAATGATTATATTCATCCTCTTTCTTTACTGTTCTTGACAGAAAATCTTTAAATATGATTAATGTATAATTGACAGAATATACAAATGATTGGTTTTGCTCCATGGTATCTCATAAATCTATTTCAAAAATCCTCTTCTTAATAACATGTTTTCATACGATAACACAATATGACCCAGAAACTTTTTATAAGTTATTTATTGATAAATATATTATTAACTCAATAAAAGTGAGCTTAATAGTTTGAAATCCTTCTTCTTCACAAATCCAGTTTTTCTTTGGATAATGATTTTATTAAGGATTCCAAAGAAATCCTGATGAAAATTCGTAATAGGGTCATTTTAAAAATTCGAAAGAAATATATTAGGTTTCCAAGAAATAGTTTATCAAACGACATAGAAAACTTTCATTGAAATCTCCTAGTATTCAAAGCAAATAAATAAAGTTAAAAGGAAAGTATTTCACCTAAAATCACTTGAGTGGGTTATCTTTGGAAAGATCTCATATCTTCTATGTAATGACCGGAAATGCCGTAAACAATGCATCTAGCCAGGGTCTAGAAAGTGTCCTGTCATCCCGTATCTCCATTTATTTAGTGACAACTATAGGGGCTTTGGTAATATTACTCTTTACTTTTGTTCCTGCTTATAATGTGTCTCTAATTCACTCTCATGTCTAGAAAGTATCTAGAAAGGGTCTAGAAAGTGTCCTGTCATCCCATATCTCCATTTATTTAGTGACAACTATAGGGGCTTTGGTAATATTACTCTTTACTTTTGTTGCTGCTTATAATATGTCTCTAATTCACCCTCATGTCTAGAAAGTATCTAGGAAGGGTCTAGAAAGTGTCCTGTCGTCCCATATCTCCATTTCCTTATTCCTAACATTTTCTTTCTACTCGTATGGTATTTTCTTCATCCAGCTATAACAAAACACGCTTCTTATCAAATTTAATTTCTTTGACTTAGATACGTATACGATGGAATGTTATTCCCCTCATTCCTTAGTCATCATACTTAGAGTTGTGGCATTATATACACCATTCCCCCCTTGTGAGCGATTCAAACACAAGTGATTGTTACACTCAGTCTCTGCTCAAACATAAAGTCAAAAGTTTGTTTGTATTTACAATTGGGATCTTTTAACACTACCTCAAATCTCGAACTTACCACTTAGTCACCAAAAGTTTATGGCGTAAAGCATTGAAACTCGGTATCTCCCGGAAACCATTCGAAGAAAGTCCTACGTAATCGCACAAGTTAGTACGCGATCACGTTCACAATTGTACCCAAGAGACTTTCCAAAGAAAATATCGAATGAAGCTTACAAAGTTCCACTGAATGCAATTAAGGCGTTTAGGAAATGCAAATCTTTTCGTAATTTAAGTACGAATTAACACAAAGAACTATTTCAACGGATTTTCTTTTGTATTTTATAAATCTTGATCAAAACCTATTAGGTACCTTTGTATTGAACTAGAATTTTGAAATTTATCAGGAAGGAAGATCTAAGATCTAGTGGGATGTTCTAGTTTTAGGGAAATGCAAAGATTAGCTCAGGATAAGAAAGAA